CCAGTCGTTATGAGCACTGGCTGTTCTTCCAGAGGTCCCACATTCGATTCCCAGTACCCATATGGCAGCTCAAAACAATCTACAACTCCAGTCTGAAGAGATCTGAGGCCCATTTAGCCTTTGTGTGTACTGCATAGTATGGTACACAGACATACATGCAGGTAAAACATCTACACACGAAGTAAAACAAAGGAAACTGTAAAAGGGAAGGCTTAGGAGATGGCTCAGTGGGAACAGCCCTGTGTAAGTGTGAGAACTGAAGTTCAGAGCTACAAACCTACTGGATGGATGTGGTAGCCAACCTGTAAGCCCAGTGCTTGGAGGGTGGACACAGAGCATCCCTACAGGAAGCCCAGCCATATTGGCAAGCTCTGGATTCAACTGAGACACCTGAGTTAATGAATAACAGGAAAGACAATCGGGGGAGACTCCCAGGGCCAGCCTCAGGCCTCCACATGCGTGCATACTCACACATGTGTACATGCACACACTCACAAACTAATGATGACGATGATACACAAAGCCTCCTAAAACTGCAAGCAAATGTAAGCATTCTATCTCATATATGGTTTCCCTTAAAAGAATGAAAACCTTGTTAAAATGGGTGCGGTGTATTTGCTTGTTCACTCCCCGAGGCTTTACATCTATGAAAGCCATCTGTAAACCCTCTGTGCTCTGACCCACAACTTGTCTTCCTGTGGAACAACTGGGATTGGCAGGCATAGCCCCAAAATGAGATTTTTAAAAAACTCAGCCACTGACCAAGAACTATGCAGTTGATGATTCCGGTTAAGTTTTTTGTTGAGGATAATAATCTTTCAAATAACAAGCCCAGAAGTAACAGAGCAAATGAAAAAACCCTGGAGGAACAGAGTTCATGTACTTTTCCGGGAGTTCAAGCATGAAGCCCACATTTAGTTTCCTCAAATTCTATACTTGGTCAGTTTGCTTGAGTGTTTTATATTCCTCTCTCCCTGGAAAGATGTATAATGTTATCACTGCCTATACCCTACATACTATAAACTAAGAAAGGAGAGGCGATAAACTGTTTAACCAAGTCCTCAAGGTAAAATGACGGCAAATAAACATACGAATATCTAGAACTATCAATCTATAAAAAGAGCTGATTTCAGACTCATTGGTAAAGTGACTTTTCCCATTGAAAGTGGGTGTCAAACCAAGAACATTCTATTGGAAGCTATAATCTTGAGATTATAAACTCTATCAGATTTTATTTGTTTACTCCTAAAGAGAAACTGAAGTAACATCACGGTCTCAGTCAGGGTGCCTACTGCTACGATAAACACCACAACCAAAAGCAACTTGAGAAGAAAGGGTTTATTCCACCTTACTGCTTCTCGGTCCATCACTGAGGGAAGTCGAGGCAGGAACCTGGAGGCAGGAGCTGATGCAGGGGCCATAGAGGGGTCCTGCTTACTGGCTTGCTCCTCATGGTTTGCTCAGCCTGCTTTCTCATACAACTCAGGACCACCTGCCCACAGACAGCAATGTCCCTGTTGATGCCCGTTCCCAGTTCAATCACTGATTTAGAAAATGCATTAAAGACTTGCGTACAGGCCATCTGATGGAGGCATTTTCTTGGTTGAGGTTCCTCTTCCCAGATAGCCATAGCTCGTGTCAAGTTAACAACAGCAGCAGCAGCAGCAGCAGCAGCAGCAGCAGCAGCAGCAGCAGCAACAACAAACAAAAAAATCCCCAAAGAACCAACGAACCAAATAAAAAAAAACAACACAAAAACTAAAACAACCTGAAAAATGAATTTGATGTTTAATATATTTTTTCTGAACAACTGTTTTAGAAAATTTTTCTTTTGACTTAACTTTTCCTTACTCTTTTACAAAGAGATGCATATCGGGAACTGGGGAGACGCTGGGGGTGAAGTGCTTTCAGTGTAGGCAGGGTGCCCAGAGTTTAAATCTCTAGCATCCCTGGAAGAGGTCAGTTTAGGAGGAGGGGCGAGGAGAGATGGAGAGCAATGCATCCCTGAACCTTGATGGGCAGGAGTCCAGCTAGTCACCAGGTTCCAGGCTCTGTTCCTGCCTCAAGAAATAAAGTGGGAAGGAATATTGGCTTACATGTGCACAAGTACACAAACATTTACATCCCACAACCAACTAACCATCAATAGAAGGATATGAATATGTATGTATGCATGTATGAGTGTGTAGTCTTAAAACACACCGTTTTAAGTCTTCTTTCTTAAAAGGACCATAAAAATTAACCCATCCGATTTAGTTAAGATTTCCATTGCTGTGAAGAGACACCATGACCAAGGCAACTCTTTTAAAGGACAACATTTAGCTGGGGCTGGCTTACAAGTTCAGAGGTTCAGTCCATTATCATGACAAGGAACATGGCAGTGTGCAAGCGGACATGGTGCTGGAGAAGGAGCTGAGATTCCACCTCTTGTTGTGAAGGCAGCTAAGAGAAGACTGGCTTCCGAGAGCTCAAGGCCCACCACAGTGACACACTTCCTCCAACAAGGCACCTCCTCCAGCAAGGCTACACCTCCTAATAGTGCCACTCCCTGGGCCAAGCATATTCAAACCACCACAGTGTAGTTTCCAACAGTGGTAGACTGAGTCCTGTGGATTGACCAACAAACTGGAATCAGCCAGAAAAGTTTACAAGATACAAACAGGCAAGCAGTATCTGTGGCGACACCACCCAGGCAAGCAGCTGGGAGACCCAAAACGTGACACAGCATCCGAGGCTCACAGGTAGAACAGTCAGACAGAGGCCCGGCTCTCAACCATCCCACCTCCTGACTGGACGCCAAACCAACACGTTACTAGCTGTAGACTATGGGACTGAAACCCATGACAGAGTGCAGAGAATAAACAAGGAAAGCAGGGAAAGCAGAGGAGTCAGGGACAGACTTCAAAATGAGCATGCGTGACACAGAATCAAAAATGATATAATAAATTCAAATAATAAATACTACAAGGGCCTAAAAGAACAATGAACAGGTGACAGACTTGAGTGTGTTGATTTAGCATCACAGCGGATGTATACAGAGAGAGAAAAAGGGGAGATGGAAACAAAATTCATTAGAAAAGATAAGAAAAGATACAAGAGAAGTCAGGATTGGCTGCATATGTCTTTAATGCCAGCATGGGGGGGGGGGGGGGTCGGGGGGAATCTCTGAATTCGAAGCCAGCCTGGCCTACAAAGCAAGTTCTAGGCCAGCCAGGGATGAGTGAAATCCTGTCTACAAAAAGAAACTAGAGGAAAGAAGCATCACAGACATTCACCCCAGAGGCGATGGATGGATGACACACGCTTCTGTAGTGCTGGCAATAGAGTTGAGAAAACAGGCAGAAGCAGCAAGGGCTCATAACTTCCCATATAAAATCAAAGATCAAGCAAAGGCCCATGGCCATCAAGAAGGCTCACAGCGAACACAGCACTCTGGTGGTGCAACTGTCACAGGGAATCTCATCTTCTCTGATGCAAAGATTTCAGTCTTCTCGTGGGGTGGGGGGTAGGACTGTCCTCTATCCCCAGGGCCACACTTGCCAGTCTCTGACTCCCTGAATCTCATTTTATATGGAATTCAGCATCATCTACTATGACTGGCCTGCTCTGCGGGGCTCCTGGGATGGGACATTACCTACCCTTGCCTCTTTAATTAGAGTGAAAGCTCACTAGGACCCAGAGAAACAATGGAGTTACAAGCTCTGTTCATTCCCACAGCCACAGCTCTACAGCAGCTCTAACTTGAAAACACTACCCTGACCACCAGGTCTGTCAATCTCATACGGACATGGAACACAATAATTAGCAGACAAATCCCCTTTTCAACATTAGAATTCAGTCACAAGATTTTCATTATTTCCCCCCAGCACTGGAGATCAGACCCAGGGCCTTGCCCATCCCAGGCAAGCCTGCCACTGAGCTACAGCACTGGAGATCAGACCCAGGGCCTTGCAAGAGCCTAGCAGGCTGACTGCTGAACTACATCTCTGTTTCAATCAGAAGGTTTTAAAAAGAAAACAAGAACAAGTTCTGTGCTTGATAAAATAGAATCCTTTAATGTGCACTGTGCATAAAACCAGGGGCCCTGTCAAAGTCTCAAATTTCAGTTGAACATAGATTATCTTAAGATCTATTAAGGATCAAAACCAAGCAGGTAAAATCCTCCGTTTCCATAGGGAGAAAAGGAGGGAAGGACAGATACTGGCCTAATCTGGAAATGAAGTTCACTTGAGAAGGCGGTACTTACTTCACTAATGTAATTCTATAATCCTACGATCAACTTTCAGATCAGCAAACTGCACCGTGTGTTTTTTGTTGACTCATAACAATACCAGAGGCCACACAAACTCCTGTCCCCACCTTACATAAAAGATCCACACGCTGGGAAGCTGTACTTTACAATCTAAATTGAGTATCAAGAAATTCCTACTGTTCTTCTTCAAACTCACTAAGTGTCAAGAGCATGCTCTCTGACCTCTCCACACCTCTGCCTTACTCAGTTCTTCCAGAGCCCTCACCGCTCAAGCTGTGGTCTCTCCACAGCTATCTTCCTGACCTGGCAGGGGTGCCCTCTATCTTCCATGCTGACTTCAAGTTCACCAGACCTGTGTAAGCTTTGTGGCTATCGCTCTTAGGGTATTAAGGCAGGCCTTGATTTATTCACAGACGACGGATACCTGGGTGCTTTGTTCTTATCGAGTGAAGCTTTTACGGATTACCACAGAACAAATACTGGCCACACTGTGCCTGAGAGCTGCAGGAGGCTTGCTCCCAGCCAGGCATGTGCTGGCAAAGTGACTCGAGGAAGCTGGGTTTGTCTAGGATTGTTATCCTGAATGACCTCAGACCTCTATGTAAGAGTCCAACTGCCCCACATTCACCTGTAAATAAATTCATAAGTAAACGCAAAGTGCGTGGAACAATTTGCTTGATTCACACAGAGTAGAGCGCTATGACTTCTGAGTATCTGAAGGTCTGAAATTACATTTTTACCCACTGACCTTTTTTTCTTTCTCACATTTCTTTGGTTTCTCTTGAGGTCTGACAAGGCCTGTGCAAGAGCTGTCTGAAGGATCGGGCCTCCCTGGTCCATTTTTAACACCTAAAAACCAAGTAGAGTGGACGTTAGTGAGAAACAACATGTAGGTTAAGCTAAACAAAAATTAAGCATCCTGTTTCTGCTTAACAGGAACAGAATACCACAGGCTCTGTCAATCAGCACCATACCTGCCGAGACCTTTTAAGAACTGGTTAGAGGGCTGGAGGGACAACTCAGTGGATAACGCACTTGCAGCACAAGTCTGAGGGCTAGACTAGCCAGGCTAGCCGTATTGCAGTGGCAGTGTTCTTTATTTTGAAATTAAATGTTAAAACTTGCAAATAAATAAAGGTATTACACACACCGAGGCATTATCCAGACCCAAACTTACTGACTACCCATAGGTGAGACATTGCTTCAAAGAGTAAGATGGAGAGCAATGCCATACCCTTGGGCCACACACCATTGCACGTGCTATAAACACAGGTGACTACATACAGATACCATATACATATATGAGTTCAAAAAAAAAAAAAAAAACCAAAACACCTGTATTTAGAGCTAGTAGGCAACTCTCTGCAATTTGCTCAATAGTCTGAGAAAATCTTCAAGGTTGGTCAGAGTGCTTTACCACATCTGGATGTTACATCATTCAAAACAATTCCTAATTATAAACTAATAATAAAATCCAGACTGTCAGAGAAGATTATTTGTTAGATGCAATCGGTTACGTCAGCTTTATGCTTAGTTCCTGTAGGGCTAGACTAGCCAGGTCTTCAGTACAAAGCTTTAGGTATTAATCTGCACATACTTGATGTTGCTCCTTGCCAGACTGTCACATGGAACCAACTTCTTGCCGCAAAGACACGTAACCAAAGAGATTTCACTGCATTTCATGTGGCTCTGTGGTATTCCAGCTGCATGGAAGGATGCATGTGTGTGTGTGTGTGAGTGTGTGTGTGTGAATGTGTGTGTGTACGTGTGAGTTGACCCTTACCACTGCAGCCTTGCATGAACTCTGTTATTACTCTCCAGTAGACAGTTTATTTCAATAATTAGTTGAGTTTTTAAAGGAGAAAATACCACGAGATATACATGAACACACTTGTGATCTTGGAGTGCAGCAGTCAAGGAAGGTGATGTCAGCTAAACTCCATATCCCACCTATATGCTGGTTCAGGAACAGGCAAAGAAAACACGAGGCCACCGCTTCAGACGACCCGATGCACATGCTAGACACGCAGATAAACATGCTCCAAGGTAAAATCATAAAACACCTCCAGAAACCAAAACGTGTACACCACGAGAAAGTCTACTTTGCTTATGGCGGGGCAGTGTGAGAAGGCCGAGAATGACCCAAGTTTGAGGAGTCGCACTTGTGAACTTCCATTCTTCAAAACAGAATTGTATCTAAATAAAAGCAGGGGCTAGCAACATGGCTCAGTGAGTGGAGGATGCTGAGTCTGATCCCAAACCCTACATGGTAGAAGGTAAAAATTAACTCCTGTGATTTGTCCTGACCTACACACACACACACACACACACACACACACACACACACACACACACATCCTTGCACAATGCACACACACAATACACACTAAATAAATGTAAAATGAATCATAAACTCAAAAACACAGAATAATAGTTAAGCATTTTCCAGAATTCAAACTAGTTGTTATTTGTACCCTGGGCCTTATAAACATTTTAAGGTCAACATTCTTTGTCTATAAATGTCTAAACTGGATCCCTTTGGAGACAAACCCACCACACACTAATCCCCTTCCCCTTCAGGCATCTTTTAAATGTCATGTCCCTCTCCCACTGAAGCCCTCAGCTAGCTTTCAGAGGACTGACTGTAGCGAGCAGGTAGAGGGTTACTGAGAGTCAGCTCTAAGAGGTACTGAACAATTTTTCACCTCACAGGTGACAGCAACATTTCCGTATTACTTCCTAACGCTGCCAACAATCTCAAAAACAAACAAACAAACAAACAGACAAACAAACAGACAAACAAACAGACAATACCTCTCAGCTCCTACCAGGCCTCGTTTTTAATCATCCTTCAGTTCTAAGGTTAGAAGTGATTTAGGGATAGAATATTCATTCATAAGGTGACATAAGGCCCAGAGTCACAGCATAAAGCAAGCACATAACTCTCAACACACCTCACATGCTCTACTATGGGATGTTGTCACATTTTCTCTAAGGTCGCCAGGCTCTGAGCTGGCCATGAGGCCAGTCAGGTCCCATCTCCCAGCACCCTCCCCTGGCTATCCTGTCTGTTCCTACAGTGCTGTCTTCCACAGGTTGTCACATCTGTGCTGCAGTGTGCACACCTCCCCACCACCTCGAACATCATGAGGTCCCGTAACACCATCCATCCCTACATTGCTAAGTCAATGTCCCTTCTCTGGACCTGTCTATGGATGGACAAATGCAACCAGCTAACAGGTACCTTCTTGGAGTGTCTTAGATGAAGCCTGGCTACCTGTCTACAGTCAGCCCAGCGAACTGCTGCTCCTCCATGTGACAGTCTGATGAATGTCTTAAAACGCTCTAACTAGGTGTCTTGATAAGGATTTATCTCCTGTTCCAGAGACTTTGAAGATATTGATCCCAACTAGACACTGATAATTGGCTTCTGGTGAGCCTTCCCCTCCCCCGTACAATCCCCACCTGCCTTGGCTTGTGGACAGGAGTCTTCTTGCTCCCAGTTCATACAGGCAAGGAGACTGGAAGAATTCCTGGCGTTTCTTATCATCCTTATGAAACACCAGTTACATCATAAGGGCCTCAGCCTTGAGATCTCATCTGAATGTAATCTTCTTCCAAAGGCTCAACTTCCAAATACTCTCATCTAGGGTCCAGGCTTGGGCTTGGGGGTTGGGGTGGGGTGGACCTAGTGTTCTGTCCACACATAAATTCTAGATGCCTCTTTCTTTACATTGTAGCCTCATTGTATACACATGCTACTTTTCATAAAATAATCAAATACAAACTGAAAAGAAGAAAAACAATCTGGCAGAAGGGTGCTGTGGAACAGAGTAGAATTCCAGCACCTGAGAGGCTGACATAGGAAGGCTGCTCCAAGGTCAGGCTAGGCTGCAGAGCAAGACTATGTCTCCAGAAACAGAAGCACACAGGGAAGAATCCCAGCTACAACATTCTTACAATGATATAAAACTGGATCCCGAAAAGACCGAGTGTGAGCAGGGACAGACACACGACCACAGGATCCTAAACTTGCAATCTTCCCACACAACCATTATCAGCATATCCCACTGGTTCTGTGAAAAGGCCTGCCTGTCACAGCCTCATTGTTCTGATAAGCCCAGAGCTGCCACAGGCAGTGACCCCCCAGCCTCCCATGATCAGCACAGGCAGTTCCTGTCACTCCCGCCACAGACTAACACGCTAGGATTAAACACTTGGCATGACTATTTCTTGGTTAGAGAATAACGTCAGGACAGATTCACACGACGTTTCGGCCCCATCAAAACACAGGTGTCATCCACTCCTATGCTAACAGTCACCACATCTGGGAGACAGTTCACAAGCCCGCATCGAAATGCCTTCTTAACTGCCAGTACAGATGAAGCAAATGAGCTGTAACTGATGTCATCACGTTGTCAGAAAGCTTCCCGTTGGGTAGCAATGGATTCAAGAATGGGTTGGCAGGAATGTTACGAAACACTCCCCAACCATGCATGAACAGGGCATGAATATCCGGTATTAGCCAACACTTGTATCCCTTAAGATGATGCCCAGATCTTGACCCCTAGATGACATATGAGATAGAGATAGGTAGTCTGAGGCACACAGTAACTTTTATAGAGGCTTGCCCCAAATAGGACGCTAAGTTAAGGGACACTGACTACTTGAAAGGCCCCCATTTTGCTGGACAACAAATGTTTATGCATCAGAAATTTGTCTTTTGTAAGATCTGGTAGCCGGACCTGCTGGAAGGATAGTGGTCCATCATCAATCCCCAACAGCTGCTAACTGTGTAAAAGAATGCAATAGTTGGTGTGCAGATAAATGAAGACACATGTATAAAATGCTGACTTCAAATTCCACCACACACTGCACAGGATAAAATCTGCATTGAATCAGTGGCCAGATGTGGGGTATAGTATAGAAAGTACTAACTCAGCTGGTATTCAAACGAGACACATGGAGGTCCTGCATTGTAGGGTTAAGTGAGGGTCCCCAGTCTGCTCTGCCACAGGACTCAGGCCACTCAGGGAAGCAGGAAGCGCGGGAAGTTTGACTGCACTTACCCTATGCTGACACCAGGCTATGGGAAGCCTCGGGACATCACCCTGGGAGTAGAGAGCACAGTCTGCGGTCCTGGGGACCACTGGAGCTGGCTCAGGGGTCCCCAGGACTGCCGAGAGGTTGGGGCCATCTGGTTCTCAGGCTCTTGGGCACCCAGGAGCCGCTAGGAGCCTTGGAAGAGCTGAGAACAGAAAGGGAGAGGGGAACTCTGGCTGTGTCCTGCAGGGATGAGTCCTTGGCCTATTCATGGGCTACTGGTCCGGCTTGGTGGGCTAAGAGGGCCTCTGCTGGAGATTAGATGGCTGCTCTGTAGGCAATGGATTTGGATGAAAAGAGGCAGTTGTGGTTTTAAAGCTTTTATTGTCACGCAGAAAGTACCCTGCTTTCTCAGAGTCAGCCTGAGGTTAAATACCTTTTGCAGGGAGGAGTGTCTGGGAAGTAAAGCTTAACTGGCTAAGCCCTTCAGGCCTTTAGGTACCTCGTTAAAATGGAGATCTGTCTTGAGGCTATGTGACCTGAGGTCCTCTACCTGTGGAGGAGCTTGGAGCCCTTACCTGAGTGATGGCCACAAATTTATGGAGGGCTGAGGCCTTGGAGCCTAGTGTCCGGGAACCAGGCAAAACACCGGCTGTCCCTCAGGTCACGGGTTTCCAACCTTAGTTCAACCAGAAAACAGGCTGCCTTTAGTGGTCCTACACTGCATCAGCATCACTAGTGAAAGGCAAGTAGGAACTCTATCATACGCCAAGGTACTCAGGACATCTGGTAGACTTTATCTACTGGGTGATTCAGACTGACTACATGTAGGAGCAGAGGCAGAAGAATGTCATCTCAATATTCACCGAGCTGCTTTTCATACTTCCTGTCTTGCACCATTGAAAGATAAATGAAGCTTGCTGTGTTGCCACATATCCATAGTCACAGCAGTGCAGATGCTGAGAAAGAAAGATTACTAACTGGAGGCCAAATGTGCTACACAGTAAGATCTTGCTTCCAAAATGAATACATTTAAACAGAAAACAAGACCTCCATACCCATACAACTTGGGTACAGACCTTTCTTTTTGAATGTTGACTACATACAGTTCCTACAACATTTCTCAGACCTAATGAAAGAACAAAGCTATATCCTAACTGCAAGATCTCTCTTCTTGCACGAGCCAAGAGCTTCCACCTATCTTCCCACCACAGAGTCACACATGTACAAGCTAAGGACCTGCTGGGAGGCACTTGTGGTAAGGGAACCTATAATTACATTAACACTTCTTTAGGACCCAACAGGTTTGAAAAACGTTTCCTTGGGGTCAGACTTGGACAAGACCATTTTTTTGTGAAAAGGCACCCAAGAGTGAGGTGCATAACACCTCACACCTTAACTTTAAGGAATTACTTGCAATCAGGTCAGGTGAGGGGAAACTCCCCCACTGGAGTTCCAGTTAAGTTATGGGGTCACTCATTGTCTCCCCACCCAAGAAATCTGCTCAAGAGCAGACACGCATTCCAAGACTGTACTCAATTCAGTGTTTCATCAATAAAAGTTCTGCAAGAATGTCTTTTCTCTAATTATCTGTATTTTATAATGATACTTCTCTATATCTGTATCCTTTTGACCCATTACAGAAAATGCCACTGATCCTCAACATAGATTATACTAAAAGAAACAAGCATCTACTGTGGACAGGATGTCTGACATATTGTTACGAGTTTTTAAAAGGCCATGTAAGGCAACGGGGTAAGATGGTTCTATGTAAGCGCGAGAATCCCCTTACATACATTTTGTTTGCATGTTTATATACGCATAGTTATCTGGTAGGGAACAGTGTTGACAGTAATTGCTTCTAGCAAACACACTGAGCCACAGTTTGTTCTTCAGAGTATCCATGGTTACGGTGAAAACAAATCAGATTTGGTTACTCCAGCTCAGAGTCTCCAGCAGCTTCTCATCACACTACAAAACAAACTGGAATGCCCTGTCTTGCCGGGGAGGGAAGGTCCCAAGGATCTGACTGCTGCCACACTTGTGGTCACTGTCCCCACCTCGCAGGCTCAATGGCTTGATGCTGCACTGGCCTCCTCCTTCCTGCAGGATGTTCGGTCATTTGTACTTACCTCCAGTAGACACAATCACACTCTCACCTGGCCTACCTAGAGTCAATAAAGCCTCCTCAGAGGAGCCATCTGGGTACCTGGAGGAACCACCTACACTCTCGAGCATTTCTGTTTTACTAATTACTCACTGTGGAGTCCAAAGGAAGCTTCAATTCCCCAAACTCCAAAAGGCAGTCTATATATCAGGAAATGAGCCCCACCTGCACTAAAAGAGGATTTCTGGGGTTTGGGTAAAAGCCAGCATTCCTCAGGAACTTGTGACACTGGTTTCATCTGCCAAAAGGAGTCTTTTCCTTTACCTCTGGCAGAAGGGATTTATGGCTCCTCTGACATAAACCTGTGGCTGCATACCAAAGCCCATGCTGTCACCGGGCTCCCTCAGTGTCACCTGATAGACATAGTCCCCACTAGCACCACAGCCCTTCACCCTTTCACAGACGTCACTTTTTCCAGATACCATTTGTTCTCTTTATAACCGAGCTTTTCCTCCTCCTCCTCCTCCTCAGCTAGTCTCACTACTCTCTCTGACTCTCTTTTTACATTCTCTCTGCCTAGTCTCTCACAGTATTATCCCTCACTTCTACTCTCCTTCTTCCCCAGCCCTGGCCATGTCCAGTCTATGTCTGTCTCTCTCTCTCTCTCTCTCTCTCTCTCTCTCTCTCTCTCTCTCTCTCTCTCTCTCTCTCTCTC